ATTTAAGAGCGACCTGAAAATAGGCTTGCCTCTGCAACAGCTCAAGTGTCTAAAGTGGGGACTGCTTAGAGTCCCCAGCTGTGCTCCCAGTGCTTCATGTGTTGCTCCTTCTGTTTCCCATCACATCTTCCCACTTCCAACCCATAAGGGTTTGTGCTGTGAATAATTTTAAAAGCCTATTATATTTGCCATTGGCTGTTGCTGGATCTGTGTTCTTTTATTCAGAGCAATATACAAAGTGCATAACAGTAACTAGCAGTGCATCCCACAAAGCACTTAAAGCAGCATACTTGCTCTTAACAATAAGTCGATTTTGTTGGATTAAGTACACATAATAAGCGGTTTGTTGCTCGCATCTTGCTGCTTTGAGCCCGATTCCTTTTTTAGCAAGGGCTTGACAATTAATTGGGCTGCCTAACACAGTTGAAGGGCTCAAATGACATCATCTAAAAGGATCCCAGCTGAAGCCCAATATTTTCTTTGGATATACTGTGTTTCTCTTACCACAACTCATTCTCAGAAGCATCTGTAGTAAAGCTTTTATAATACAAGTAGGAAATCTGTCCTGTAGGTTTTATACATTCATGTAGGACCATGAGTGAAGACTCTTTCTTTCTTTCTTTCTTTCTTTCTTTCTTTCTTTCTTTCTTCTCTCTCTCTCTCTCCCATGTGTGTGTTGATAAAAACCTAACATTAGAAAATCCTGAAGGTTCCTTCAAGCAAAAGGAACATATGAAGAAGTCTAATACTAGGCATTGGTGCGCAGAGGTCTATGCCCAGTTCACTCACTAAGCAGATCACCCAAACAGACACTTTTTGCTGCAAAAATCATCAATACAGACAACTTGTTAAACTTGTTTAACTCCATGTGTGGCAGGAACTGGCATGAACCAGCAATGGTTCTAGCAAGGGCTTTGCACTTTGCAAATTGTCTACTCCCATGTGGTTCCCAGCTGGACTAGGGGTTCTACTTTTTTGAAATGTGCATGAAGTCAAGTAAGGATGGTGTACAATACACAGGCTCATAAGGCTGCTGTAAGACCATGCAGTGATGTTAGAAAGTCCTTAAGCAGTTAATATTTTTGCTCCTGGCAAGACTGGGGGAAGGTATTTTTCTCATTCAAATCAGTTAGCAGAACCTTGATAGATTCCAGTGCTGCCGCAGAATGATACTGCAGAAAACTATGCAGGTGGTGTTTTGTCAGTATATAAATGAGAGATTACAGATGCATATTTACTAACTGTGTTCAAAATTGTGTGCTAAATTATGCCAGAAATTTTTACAGGCCTCAACAGCTTGCCAGGCTCCAGTGTTTAAAACAATGGAAACACTATCAGGAAAGCAAAATGAGAATAGTTCATGTATACTAAAACTCCAGAAGGGCATGATCAGCATGGAGAAACTAGCTAATGGTCTTGAATTCTTTAAGAGGATTTAAGACAGTGATAATGACAGCGCATACATAATCGTTTATTTTGATTTGCAGAAAGACATTGATAGACTGTTCCTTCTGACAGGGTCTTACATAAAATGTGAGCTTTTGGAATGAAGCTCCAGAGCATGGAAAATTGATAAAGAGCTGGGTCATATGATAAAACAGATGTTATTTATCTGTGGAAGCCCCTAAATGAAAACTTTGCCATGGAAGCACATCAGAGGAATTGCAAGCATAAAAAATGAATCAAGTGCTATTCAACAGGTTTCAGAGCTCATTAATAAATGGAACAAGTGGCACTAATAAATGTGAAGTGTGGCTCAGACAGAGTATAAAACTAATCAAATGAAACTCCAGTGGAGGGAAAGCTCAGAAAAAATCTTGAAGTATTATTTGTGTGCCTGCAGTGGGAATAGAAAGGAAAGCAACAGACCAACAAAACATAATTGGGGTGAAAACAGGCATCACTCTTTAGTAGTTTGGTAGATGAATGGCAGTGACTTAGGCCTGATGATACCCAGTATGGCCTCTGGGTATTGAAAACGGGAAATAATTGAGAAGAAAAAGTTCAGCATCGGTCCATCCACAGACCCAGAGCCAACTTCCTGGGCATGGCTCCTTGCTTTTCCTTAGTTATTCAGACCTGCCAATCACCCGGAGTCCTGACTTAAGATGCCCAAAACAACATGCTGCTAAGGGGAAACTCCTAACCAGAGGAAACAAAAGATTCAGTTGAAATGTACTGTTTTGTGTGCGCGTGCACACACATTATCTTTATATCTCTCTGTGCTTGAAACCAGTATTAACCATGAAGTTGAAATATTAAGAGTCAGCAGTTCTGTAGTTTCATATCACATTCTTGTTAAACTTTTAGATGAAAGCCACTGGGGTCTGGATATCTATTTCTGCTTAAACTATCAGTTTGCTCTCAATCCTCTTCTGAACTCAATAAGTGAAAACTGTGCAGATTTGATACTAAGGCATTGACATAGTTTTATAGCACACACATACATAAGGACGTAGAAGCACCATGGTGTTTTTAATCTAGTGACTGGGACATTATTGTGCATGGGAAAATATTGATCAAAATGGATGGCTGGATTAATAACGCTGATAAGGTTTGCATGGGGCTAAATGGTTGTATCTTTCAAGTGTGACACATGCTCAGTTTAGACAGGAAATATGGATAATGGAGGTATAGATAATGAGATTCTACAGTATAATCAGTGATCTGTACTACTGTAAACATATTAATTGAATTACTTATTTAGAGGCCATTACATGCATCAGGAAACGCATCAGGCCTTGACATGGCAAATTTGCCTTATAATAGTTTACAATGAAAATAATTGTTTTAATATTACACAGAAGGTAGCTGTGATAGCAACATTAGATCACCTTTCATTTCTGCCTTGGCATGATAATTTGCATAGTCTTGTAAGATTTAAAAAAACAACAACGTATAATTTTCAAATATGCATGTGATAGGTACATTAAAATTGTTGGGAAAACTCCATTTAAGCACAGGCTTCCAGTAGTAATGAGAAATAGCAGAGAATGCTTCTGCAGCAACTAGAATCAAACAGACCTAATTTTTTTTTTCCTTTCTGAAGAAATATAATGTGAAGGCATGAGAATATGTTGAGACATAATTGTCTCTCTTGGATGATAAATTCAGGAACCGTGCAGGAATAACAAGGTCAAATGATTCAGGGCGTACAGCTCATTCATAATGATCTATCCAACACTGAGCAGCCGGAGAGCATAATGACTTGAAAAAGCATAAACATTCAGAACAGTACATTGGCAAACATATAGGCATCACCCAGACTGAGATGAGAACATTGACACTGACATGTAAACCTCCATGCAGAAACACCTAAGAATTGCAGAAGACCTCCTGCAGCCCCACCATACCCTCATTTAAAATTACCTTGCAATGGTCCTATTCCTAGCCACATTTTCTTGGAAACAAGCTCCAACTATATGAGACTGGCATGAGTTAACACAAGTATGTCCATCATGTGATAACTGTAACATTGAGCGATGATTGCCATGTTTTGCAAATTTTCACAATTATCATAATTCAGTTTTTAGGCAGAGAACATTCTCATCACCCAACGTCAGACATAAGACAGCTAATGGTGGCAGTAATAAGTATTATCTACCCTTGGCAATTTTTATTTATTGTACATGTGCAGCCATGGCTGGTTCATGCTGTCAACTAATGGAGCTGGCATCGCTTATATTTATGCACAGTGCTCCCTGTTCACCATGTGTGTACATACATTAAGTTAGAAATGACAACAATGGCCAGCTGCAGTGTTCAGCTGCAACAACAGCAGCAGCTGGAAGGATGAAGAAGGGGAGAGCAGCCAGCTCCAAAGACCCAAGCCTTTCCCAGAGTGTTCTGGAGCTTAGCAACTTTTGCCACCTCCAAGAAGTAGAAATGCAAACCACCTAAGAATGATTCCAAAATAAGTATCAAGGGCAATTTATGGTAAATGTACCCGAGGCAAAATAGGGGCATGTGAAAATGTTTATCTTTTGCTACATTCCTTGTGGTTTAAAACAGAGAATCATAATTGGCAATGCCATGTGTGAACAACAAAATAATAAATCTAAACGCTAAAGCAATTAATCTGAACCCAATAAAAATGTAAAGGTTGTACTATGCTGCTTCTCCCTTGGCCTCTCCTAAAATGTAGGTGAATTTGACCTCAAGCTAAGTAATAAGAGCCTTGATTCATTTCACCTTTAACTGGGAAAAGCCACTTCTATGATTCAGCAGAGGGCAAAGCTGCCTCAATTACAAGCTGGTAAAAGTAAATGTCTCAGCGAACTGCAAACTGATTACTTTGTTCCCTTTGGGCATTATGACTGTCACAGAATTACAAAAGGCACAAGGATCTAGGCCAGCCAGATTATCGCCATATTGTCCTTCCAGGTTCTCTGTCATCTTTGTCTAATGATAAAACAGTTTCTAACACCCACTGCCATCAGCTCACCCCACATTCTCTATAATGGATCACTAAACCCAACATAAAATATTAGTTTGGAAATAGGATGTATGAATGTCAGGGAACATAAAACGCCCAACCTTTGAATTAAAACTGTGCAAGAGAAGTCTCCGTAGCTTGTATTCAGTGTCTAAGTGATGGCAAAAAAATTCCAAACACACTTTTTCAATACTGGTTTAACTAGGACCTGGATATCTGATAGAGTACCTTCTCCCTTACGGACCTGTCCAAATATTAAGATGCAGCAGGGATGTCCTCTTGGTGGTGCCGCACTTGCCTAGGATTTGACATGTGACAACCCAAGAAAGGGCACTCTTGTTGCAGGCATCCTGATTGTGGAACTCTGAGCCTGTTGACATCAAGTCTACCCAGTGCCAACTGAAGACCTACTGAGTCACCTCGGCTTTGGGTTGAATTTGTGATGTTGTACTGTGTAAATAGTTGTTTGACTGTTGGTGCTCTTGCCTGTTTTGTTGTTTATTGTACGAATTGGAATTATTTTATAATGGAATGCAGGTGATAAATTTTACAAACAAGCAAAAATGCTGGGATAGCTCAGTCAGTAGAGCATGAGACTCTTAATCTTAGGATAATGGGTTCAAGCCCCATGTTGGGCAAAAGATTCCTGAATTGTGGTTCCTTCCAACTCCACAATTCTATGTTTCTGTGAAATATGTTCATTTTGAATAATTCCTTCATTGTACAAAACAGAAGCTATTTGCTGCAATCATTCAGCTAGTTTTGCTAATGAATAAGATGTCTTAACAATAAGCACAAGCCTCATAACCATGTGTGACTCTGTTCATTAGATAGTGCTATACATTGCTGAATTTCCCCCCTTCTCCCCATAAATCTACTATGCGCAATGAACTTACAATGTCAGCAGAAATTCAGCTAATCCTATAGCACAGAGAGGGTAATTTCAAAAGGTAATTGATGTCTTTTTAACCTAGAAATGTCAGATTGTATTGAGAATAATGGGGCCTGACAAGTCTAAAGTTAAAAGAGAAATTGCAAAATTGATCCACTTTGGGTTCTGAATTTTTAAACTAAGTTAGCATTGTGCTCCTACCCAAGTATTATTACATGAATATTTCCCTCTAGGTTTTAAGGCTATCTCCAGAATGGCATGTGGCCTGCTGAATGGGAAAATGCAATAAGACTTCTTTTTCTCTCTTGCCGAGCTCTGGAATATTGGCTTGAAGTCCTGCTTTATAGGGTAGAACCTCACTGCTGCTTTTCTGACACCAGGAAGTGATTTTGCTGGGATGGGAAGCTTCAGGGAGAAATTGGCCTTGTTGAAATGTTTTAGGAAGCAGAGACGGCAGCTCTGATGAAAATGTGGCTCTGCTCCCTGATCTGTCCTCTGTAACTCCATGGAACACAGAGACCACCTCCCTTCCCCTCCCTTAAGCCTCCAAAGAGTCACCTATGCCGCCAGACTCTGATGGATGCTCTACAGCAGGGGTAGGCAACCTAAGGCCTGTGGACCGGATGTGGCCCAATGGTATTCTCAATCTGGCCCACGGATGGTCCGGGAATCAGAGTGTTTTTACATGAGTAGAATGTGTGCTTTTATTTAAAATGCATCTCGGGGTTATTTGTGGGGCATAGGAATTTGTTCACCCCCCCCCCAAAAAAAGTAGTCCGGTCCACCACATGGTCTGAGGGACGGTGGACCAGCCCACGGCTGAAAAAGGTTGCTGACCCCTGCTCTACAGGCGCTTGAGAGATCAAGAGAACTTTTAGGAGAGACCCCACAGCTGGAAACCCCATTAATCCACAGGAGCCACCCCACCCCCAATTGAAAGCACAGAACCAATTGCTCGATTACTGTACTGTTGGATTTTTAGTAAAAATTCTGTCTGAACAGTTAGCCTCTAATACTTGCAGTAATACCAGTGTGAATTTTTCCATTCTAAATTATGATCTTCTGGTGGACACTATGAGGACTGCAGACCCTGAAGCAATAAATAAGTTATTTGAGAACAATACACATGTTAAGAGCATTTGTTCAGGTATAGATTGTTTTTGTAGCATCCTTTTTTTCCTTGGTGTCAATTATATATATATATAAATTTCTCTTCCACAGACATATTTTACAAACTTATGTAATATTCACGGAAAACAGTATTTACAAGTCTACAATCCTATACAATGTCATCAGGTCATATGCATGGTAAATATGCTAAACCCCTAAAGGAACAATGTTTCTGCATATGTAGGGAAGACACAACTGAAGATACACTACACATTATACTGTCCCCTGAAGAATGAATGCTTTTGTTTGAGTTTTTAAACAATATATGGATTTTGAGAGTGCTTCATAACTACTGCACAGTCGAGACAACTTTCCTACTTATAGGCCATCTTTGCCTGCAGTGGCTGTCCATAAAATTATAGACAATCGATTGCAGTGTTGTGCTACCAAGATAACTTCCTATAATATTTAATGATTTTTGCACAGGTGTTTAGACTGAATAATCAGAAGTAGCTTAGGGAGGCTGTTGTTTGTTTTTGCCCTATGAAACCCACTTGTACCCACATTGCAGAGCTTCAAAATGCCTCTTTCAAATACAGTATTTTTAAAAAGTGTATGACCACCAGATAAAATATGGAGTCTTTTTGTAACCACTACATTTATTCGTATGATTCTGCTCCTCCCTTATCTGGATGAAAAGGGCTTATTGTGTGCTCATTTCATATTTCAAGTTACTAATGCTGAACAAGAGAAAGAACAACAGGTTGGTTTTGTTGGCAGCAGGGTGTGTGCGTGTGTGTTTGGTTTTGTTGGCAGGAGCTGCAATAAATTCTTATCAAAATTCCTGCTGCTTTTACTTCATTGGGAACAGCAGGGAATTCCAGCAGGGCCAAAAAGGTTAGCCGTAAGGGATCAGGAAACTAATCTGCACTGGAGAGCCCTTCACATCAGAGCTGGGCAATACTCTGCAAAACAAGTGAGCTTTGCAGTGATGCTGATAAACCACCATTTCTGTCATGTGGGAAAATTCGCAGTAGAAGTAATTAAAGCCCACTACCTCACAGTGGGAATTCAGCTCCACATCAAATATTTGCATAAACCTTCCTAGATGGAGATGTTCTCTAAAATAATTACTTGCCTGGCTGAAGACACGCCCACATCCAGGCTACCTTCAGCAGTTCTGTATTAGCTAGATACCATCTGCTGGTGAAAGTATATGGAAAAAAACACAGGAAGAAAGAAACCATAGGAAGATCTCGCCCTCGAGGCAACAGCTGCATGTGATATACATTTTATTTGAGTTGGGGCCTTCTCCCTTTCATACAATCTGACAAGAAAAATAAAGCTGAATTTACAAGTCTCTGTATGGAAGGCCACCAGCCAGAACACAGTGGAAGCTTCCAGTGGATGTGCTGGGGACGTGGAACTCAAGCCACAGGTTAAGTGTGAGGCAGGTGAATACAATATGTAGCATGGCAGTCAAATGTTCAGAGAATCCAAAGGAGGAATGGCAACTAAAGCTATTTGACTATATTAAGCTGGTTAAAATGACAGAAACAATTAGGAACAGAACAAGCCAAAAGTTCTCTAAGGAAAGGGAGTGCTATAAAAACTATCTAGAAAAACATTGCTCCCAAATAAAGCCTTTATTATGCTTTGATTAATTTAATTTTTGCAAAAGACAAAACAGTTATTATAACCAAACAAGCTAATACCAAGAAATGGAAAACATCTAAAGAAGGGCAGTTAAGGAAAAGGAAAAACTGACTCAAATTGAGGTGGTGGACGGAAGCCAAATCAAAAGATTAGCATGTTTAAGGTCTGATAATTAAATATAATAAGTATGGGGAACGGGTGGTGGGAAATATATTTACTGGCTATGTTATTTTTTCTTTATTTCTTTTCTTATGTAACTGTTTATTCCTAGGTGTAGTTCAAATTAAGGATGGGAAATGTATATGGATGTATGCAAAACAGAACTTGAAAAGAAAGAAAAGAGAATCCAAATGAGAAGAGATGTTGCAACAGGAAATAAGGAATGTTATTGGTTCTTAAAATCTCAATCTTTCACCCCAAGATCCATACAACAGCTAAGTTTACATGAAGACCAGATATTTGTATAGCTTTATACTCATCTGTCTTCTAGTCTAATGATTTGCTTTTGTTCCTCGGTTTCTTACTCTGAACCTTGGCTTGCTGCATATCACAATCCTGGCTGTCATTAGTAGATTTCTCCGAAATGGCTTTCTCACTTACAAGCGTTGACAGGGGGTCAGAATCATTTACCAGAAGTCGAATATCGAGTAGTTCTCTTTAGCTCTCACTACACTATTCTTTAATTTCGCTTGTGTTTGAGTGCAAACCCAATTATTTGTACTGATAGAAAAATATCTTTTTTGGATGGTGAAATGTATTCAGCTGTAGCAATAGATAGAAAAATAGATGGATAAAGATAGACGGACAGACGGATCAATAGACGTGACAACTTAGCATCTAAATCTTTACTCTCTAAACATTCTTCTTACAGTGTAGCAACTGAATGGTCCAGTTATATGCTGCTTCATAAAGATTTCTAAAGAAGTGGCATAGATATGATGGCATGGCTATGTCTGCAGTTATGTGCTGCCCTACTGACATTATGAGTAATCCCATCAGCTCTTTTACTGATCTAACATGACACTTCTTTACAGATGTTAGCAGAGTGTTGCCAGGCTGGACCATTCTACAGGGGTATGCATGTTGGTTGAATTATGCTGTGGGTTAAACCACAGAGCCTAGGACTTACCGATCAGAAGGTCGGTGGTTCGGATCCCCCTGATGGGGTGAGCTCCCGTTGCTCGGTCCCTGCTTCTGCCAACCCAGCAGTTCAAAAGCATGTCAAAGTGCAAGTAGATCAATAGGTATCGCTCCGGCGGGAAGGTAAACGACGTTTCCGTGCGCTGCTCTGGTTCGCCAGAAGCAGCTTAGTCATGCTGGCCACATGACCCGGAAGCTGTACGCCGGCTCCCTCGGCCAATAAAGCGAGATGAGCGCCACAACCCCAGAGTCGGTCACGACTGGACCTAATGGTCAGGGGTCCCTTTATTTTTACCTAGGGAACCTCAGGCTTGGGAGACAAATGTGGCCTTCCAGGCCTTTCTATATGACTTTTGGTACTGTCTAAGGCCACTTGCTTGCCTCAGGCCACTCTCATGAGTGGCCCTGCTCTGTGCCCTCCTTGAGTGCTCTTGCCTGGCAGGAATGTGTCCTTGAACTGTGCTAGTGCCTCTTGCATCCTGCGTGGAGGGTGGGCAAAGGTGTGCAGGTATAAGATGTAGAAGCATCTGACTTGCATGGTTGGAATGTAGCCCACTGTACAAAGAAAAGAGTCACATCTATTGCTTTCCCCATTTTTCCTCTCCCCACCTCTGGGCAAACTGGCATGCAGCCCCTGGATGTCTGCCCATGAGAAATGTGGCGATCACGCTAACAAAGATTTTCTATTCCTGAATTGACTTTCTATTCTAAAACAAAACTTAGAGAGCACTTGCCCAAGAAGTAGTAGTGAAACTCCTTTAAAGGTGTCCAGCGTGGTAGCCTGACCCTTTAAATCCTAACCTACTTTGCAGTCTTCCTTCCAACTCGCGTATACCAAAT